CGGAGCGGTGAGGGTTCGGGGCGGTGATGATGGTGGTGATGGTGATGATGATGGTGGTGATGATGGTGGTAGTGGTGATGATGATGGTGGTGGTGGTGATGATGGTGGTGGTGGTGGTGATGATGGTGGTGGTGATGATGGTGGTGGTGATGGTGGTGGTGGTGATGATGGTGGTGGTGATGGTGATGATGGTGGTGATGATGGTGGTGGTGGTGGTGATGATGGTGGTGGTGGTGGTGATGGTGGTGGTGGTGATGGTGATGATAGTGGTGGTGGTGATGGTGGTGGTTGTGCGTTGTATCAGTGAGGAGGGGTGACGGAGCGGTTAGCGCACTGCGCTGGTAACCCGGCGAACCGAGTTCGATTCCCGCTCACGGCCAACACCGGTGACGATTATCTGAACCGCTCCTGGGCCTCCCCTAGGTCGACTCAGCCTCAAATGGGTACCTGGTGCGGTGTGTAAATATTAGCACTGGGGAGACAAAGGCGGCCGGGCGTGGTGTCGATCACCCACCCGTCTTCGTGCGCCGTGACGGCCTTCATAGGTGCTCGCCGAACTGCACTTGCCCGTAGAGAGTCTGTGTGCCTGTACGGGGGACTTTTGTAGTTGCCTTTGGTGACGAAGCGATGAGCGCAGCACGCCGGCGAACCTGCGAAACCTGAGTTCGCACCCCCCCCCCCCCGGCCACGTTTAAGGAACATCAGCGGGCGAACGTGATGTCTGAACCTAGGGGCCGTCCATAAATGACGTCACGCGCTTTTGTACGATTTTTGACCCCCCCCCCCCCCCCTTCGTCATACGGCGTCACAAAAAGTCAGACCCCCCCTCAAATATGACGTCACAAAGCTCTGCCCCCCCCCCCAAAATAAATAAAACATGCTTCAAATCGCTTTAAACTATTGTCATTGTAGTGCGTATTTAATGTGGCGCTGCACTCTGATGTAGGAGAAAACATTTATTAAAAAGTCTATTTAATCAAGTAGAACGTGTTGTCTATATTTATTTAAAGTTGCGCATTTTGATGTGACGTCACACATCGTCACAAATGTCTGACCCCCCGCCCCCCCCCCCTAGGTGCGTGACGTCATTTATGGACGGCCCCCTACCCGTAGGTCGACTCGGTGTGAAATGAGCGCACGGCGCGAGCGTGTGAGACGTCACGTGCGTCCCGTTCGCCCGCCTGTTTGCGAGCGCCTTAATAGGTGCTCGCAAACAGCCTCCGGCAGCGAGCAGCGTGAAGGGGGCCTTTTGTCTTTGTTGTTGACGGGGTGGTGCTGCGGTTAGGGGATGAGGTGGGGGTCAAGGGGGGTGACGTCACCTATCACCAAACAAAGGAGGAATCCGCCCAGCGCTGAGCCAATATGGATATCGGTTTATATTGTTGTTGTTGTTGACACCACCATACAAATATTGTACATGTTACGAAATGGACACGGGGGTTGCAACAACAACAAACTGCCACCGGCGTTCTTCTTGCTCGCAAATGCACGTGGCAGAGTGGAGTGTGTGGACGATTGCGGTGGAGGTGGTTGGTGGTGGTGGTTGGTTGGTGGTGGTGGGAGGTTGGTTGGTGGTGGTGATGGTGGTGATGGGAGGTTGGTTGGTGGTGATGGGAGGTTGGTGACATCTTCGCAGCCTCCCCCATCCCACCCCCTGCCTCCTCTCCCCCCAACGTCACCGCGCGGTCTCCTCGGCTGTGGTCCGGCCCTCGCCAGATGCTCCACTCGGCACAATCGCAGCAGAGAACCCGGTGGCGCTCACCCAGCCACTCACCAGCACACGATGTAACCAGAATGTGTAGTATTCACCCATCCACTAATCATAGCACCATATATAACAACACTCACCCAGCCACTCACCATCACCCCATATATAACAGCACTCACCCAGCCACTCACCAGCACCCCATATACACCATCACTCACCCAGCCACTCACCATCACCCCATATACACCATCACTCACCCAGCCACTCACCATCACCCCATATACACCATCACTCACCCAGCCACTCACCATCACCCCATAAACACCATCACTCACCCAGCCACTCACCAGCACCCCATATACACCAGTACTCACCCAGCCACTCACCAGCACCCCATATACACCATCACTCACCCAGCCACTCACCATCACCCCATATACACAATCACTCACCCAGCCACTCACCACCTCCCCATATATAACAGCACTCACCCAGGCACTCACCACTTCCCCATATACAACATCACTCACCCAGCCACTCACCATCACCCCATATACAACAGCACTCACACAGCCACTCAACAGGACCCCACAAACACCATCACTCACCCAGCCACTCACCATCACCCCATATACACCAGTACTCACCCAGCCACTCACCACCTCCCCATATACACCATCACTCACCCAGCCACTCACCATCACCCCATATACACAATCACTCACCCAGCCACTCACCACCTCCCCATATATAACAGCACTCACCCAGGCACTCACCACTTCCCCATATACAACATCACTCACCCAGCCACTCACCATCACCCCATATACAACAGCACTCACACAGCCACTCAACAGGACCCCACAAACACCATCACTCACCCAGCCACTCACCATCACCCCATATACACCATCACTCACCCAGCCACTCACCATCACCCCATATACAACAGCACTCACACAGCCACTCACCAGGACCCCATAAACACCATCACTCACCCAGCCACTCACCACCTCCCCATATACACCATCACTCACCCAGCCACTCACCACCTCCCCATATACAACAGCACTCACACAGCCACTAACCAGGACCCCATAAACACCATCACTCACCCAGCCACTCACCACCTCCCCATATACACCATCACTCACCCAGCCACTCACCACTTCCCCATATATAACAGCACTCACCCAGCCACTCACCACTTCCCCATATACAACAGCACTCACACAGCCACTCACCAGAACCCCATAAACACCATCACTCACCCAGCCACTCACCATCACCCCATATACACCATCACTCACCCAGCCACTCACCACTTCCCCATATATAACAGCACTCACACAGCCACTCACCATCACCCCATATACACCAGCTCTCACAATACCAGGGGCACCACAGTAGCGAGATGTTAACGACCTCGCCTGGTATGCAGGAGGTCTGATGTATATTTTGAGTTTGCGTGTCTCTCTCTCCCTGTGGTCGCCTGGATTTTTCTCCGGGTCCTCCGGATTTTCCCTCCACATGTAGAATCAACAACACGCGTTTAGATTATTTGGCTGAATTCCCACGTGACAAGCCACTTCGTTGAGCAATGATTTGTGGCCAGGTCGCTTCTAAAAAAGCCGATATAGCTCAGTAGGGCCTTACCTGGTAAAAAAATAAAATGTTATGCAGTACACCAACAAGGTTTTTAACAGCAACCATGTATTATGCCCTAACCTAGTAGATGTATTTTGAGTAGTGTACAGGTGTCCATGTGAAGCCCTGTTCGTCAATCCACTGCTGGATGAAAGAATGCCCAGTCCGTTCCGGTCATGGGAAGTGGGGGGGGGGGGGTTGTTTGACCATACTTCACCACGTTGGGTCAGTGCCGGTTGGTGAAGCTGGAGTGGGGGCGGGGGGGGGAGTGCGTTCAGATACCACTCGCCACTGATGTTAGCCGTGGTCGGGAATCGAACTGAGGTCGCCGGGTCAGAGTGCATCGCTTAATCTGGTCGCGGCGTAAATGAACCAAAATGACATCTCCAGTATCGTTCTGCCGTGGCGAGGGCTTAGCGGAGGAAGAGGGAGGGAGTGATGCGGGAGGCTGGGTCGGGGAGCTGTATAGTGACGATGTTTTTGTTGCGTCAAATGTTAAAATGAGAGTCCCCGTGTGACCGCAGGCATCGCGAATTCAGAACGAATTCTCAACAATAAGCGCACCCACCCCGCCTTCTTCCACACGAATAGAAACAATGACAGCCCCCCCCCGCCACCTGTCCCCACATCCCTGCCGCATCGCCCCCCCCCCCCCCCCCCCCCCATCTTCCCATCTTCTCCTCTCACTCATTCTCCACCATCCTCGTTTTCACCGCTCCCATCCTTGCTCCACTCTGATGCCACAAAATAATGGCCGCCCCATAAATCCTGCCGCATCCCCTCCCCCATCCCCCCATCCTCTCCGCACCCCCACCTCGGCCTCCATTATCCCCCTTCTCACCCCCCCCCCACCTTCCATCATGCCATCCTCCCATCCACGCCCTGGACATCCGTGCAAATGAGATGTTCCATATCAATAAATTACGCCGGTGAAATATTTGTTAAATAAAGAATACATTCGTTAACCCCCCCCCGATCCTCCCCCATCCTCTCTACCACCCTACATACCACCCTCCAACCTGCATCACAATCCCATCCTCCCATCCTCCCCCCCCCATCTTCCCCCATCCTCCTTCATCTAAATCTCCGCCATTCTCTTCCCTCCCATCCTCTCATGCTCACATATCCTCCCCCTCCCATCATATTCCATCTCATCCATCTTATCCTTCTCCCCCATCCTCCACCATCGCATCTACCAACTCCTCCTTCCACCCTCACCCCCCATTCTTCTCCATCCTCCTCCCCAATCCTGCCCCCCCCCACCTCTTTCCGCATCCTTCGTTCTGCATCCCCATCCTCCTCGAATCTTCCCCTCATCCTCTATATCATCCGGCAGCATCATCCTCCAAAATCTCCCGACATCCAATTCTCCTCCCTCCACCACCAACCTCCATCTCGTCCCTCCTCTTCCTTGTACCATCATCTCCCTTGCCACCCCCCAAATCCTTCCACACCCATCCATCCATCCTCCCTCCCTCCTCCTCACCCATGGGCCCCCTACCCCGCGACAACGGCGGCCCCGTCCAATGCGCTCGCTCGCCACCCGCGGATGCGTCTCGCGCGGCGCGGGCGGCACAACGAGACGCACGCGCCGCACGAAAGTCCCCCCACCCACCCACGCCTCCCACCCCCGCGCCCCCAGTATTTAAAGGCCCCACCGCTCCCTCGACCCCCCAGTCTCGTCCCACTCACCATCGGCACATCGCGCCTTCCGTGAGCGCTCGGCGCAGACTGTCAACCACCACCTTCTCCTTCTCCTCCCTCCGACTCGGCCGTCTTTGTCTCTCCCCCCAAGGCACACTCTAGCCGACCGCCGACGTCAACATGGTAGGGATGGCGAGATGCGACGGTGGATAACGGAAGCGACGATTGTATTGGGTTTTTTGGTAAAAAAAAAAAATGTTTTATTTGTGTTAACGTTACGAATGATCGCTGAGGCAGTTGTTGTATTTATACCATGATGATGGTGTATGTGTGTGCCTCAGTGTGCGCGTGTGCGTCTTGGCCCTTTTGCTGTTCGCTAACGGGTTGCTCGCGAACGGCACTTGCCCCAACAGCCTACGTCGCCTACACGGGCGATCTTGGTCTTTATCTTTGTGCGCGGAGCGATGGCGCAGTGAATGACGCACTGCGCTACGATCCCGTTGACCCGAGTTCGATTCTCGGCCACAGCCAACATCAGCGGACGAGTGTTTATCGTGAACCGGTTCTGGGCCTCCCCTTAGGTCGACTCGGCCTTAAATGGGTTTCGGTGTGAAAACACCAAAAAAACCGGCATCACCACCGGGGAGACAAGGGCGGTCGGGGGCATGGTGGCTGATCACATTCACGCGTCGTGAGCCGCGCGGGCCTTTAATAGGTGCTCGCAAAAAGCACAGCGACGACTGTTGGGGCCAGTGAATCACGCGCGCTGTGACCCACGTCCCAGAACACCCTCGTACCGGGGGCGCACGCAAAGTGACAGCCCGGGGGAATCGCGAATCGATCTCTTTTTTTGTTGTTGTTGTTAAATATTAAAACAAAACTCTTCTGGACGTAGCAGCTCGAGCCGCGCAGATCCCCGTTCGATAGAAGCTGCGAGATCCGATTCGAGTCGTCGCTCCGCCCGTTGCGTTGTCAGTGACTCGATGCGCACAGTTCCGAGTCGTCGAGAATTTCCATTGTGTCCAAGGCTCAACCCCGACAGCAGCCGCCCCACCGCCCCCTCCCCTCCATTCATCCTCCCATCATCTCCTCGGGCCCCTCCCAGATTTACATCTCCTGCGTCATTGCTGGGGGGGGGGGTGTGGGGGTCTGGCTCCCTCACTCCCTCCCACCCCCCTCTCTCACACTTACCACCCAACCATCCTCCCTCCTTCCCTCTCAATCACGCCCCTCGCTCGCACACTCGCTCCCTCCCTGCGCCCTCCCCTCACACTCGCACCTCTCTCTCTCGTCCACTCTCTCCCCTCCCCTCCCTCCCACTCTCTCCCCGCTATCTCCCCCCGCTCCCCCGTCAACGCTCCCGCCCCTCCCTTTGTAGTCTCCCCTCCCTCTCTCTCGCTGCCTGCATCTGTCCCACCCCTCCCACCATCTCCCTGCACGCTCCTCCCTCTCTCGCCTTGGCCCGCTGCATCTCCCATGCACTCATCTCCCCGCTCTCTCTGGCTACAAAACCCCTCCCTCCATTCTTGCATCGCCCCCCCTCCCTCTCCAGCCCCATCCCCGACATTCAGCATCTGTTGTCGCACGGATCGGGTTTCCTGCCGAGGAGATCTCAATGATTCCTCGCCGGCTCCGCAACACAAATCGTAAACCACAAACCTGAGTCGTTGCCTGATTGCCTTCGGGATTGAGTGCCTCTTCCACCGCCTGCCTGACTGCATCCATGCCTGACTGCTTCGTCGCATGCTTGACTGACTGCATCATCCGTGCGTGCATGCCCCACGGGCTAATCGTTGCACGGAATTAATGCCACCTTCGCCGCCTCTGTGATTCACTCGAGAGGCTGTCGAGAACAGAGCTGCCTTCTGGTGGGTGGGGGGCCCTTCCGCCAGCAGTGGCGCGAGCGAGCGCTTGCAGGGCTGCGCCTTTAGCGCAACTCACCTCGTGTGACCGACTCTTTGACTGCACAACCGGTTGACTGCACGGCGGCTTACCTGTTCGGCTCTCTGACTGTCCGCCCGCTCGGCTGATTGCCCGAGTCAGTGACTGACTTCCCACCCGCCAGTCTGCCTACCTGCCCAGTTACGCTACTGCTTGATTTCCAGCCTGATTAATTATGCAAATTACTTCGTGACAATGATGCCGCTGCTGCGTTGGCAGCGGTGCACAAGCACAACTAATACATTTTTACAAAATCAACGCATTCTCTGTCAATAACACTTTGGCCATATACGGATACAACAGTGTGGGCGACGTTTCGGGCAACGGCCCTTCCATTCGCTTTCGGGTGGTGTCATTGACAAATATTGTTGAAGATATATCTACGTGTATACAACATACAGGGTGCTTCAAAACAATGTTAACAAAACAACGCCACGAGAAATGTGCCTGGAGACCACCTGGAGAAGATTCCAGGGCACGCGTTGACAACGATGGTGAACATGTGGAGACTCTCTGACTTTATGAAGCTATTAACATTACATTTGTTATCATGTTGCAGTGTATTTATTATCTGTGCTTTTTCCGTTAACAACGATAGTCCCATGTAAGTGTTAACATTTTTTAAGCGCCCTGTAAATCCAAACGCCGCTGTAGGATTTGTAACGCGGAGGCGCGGGGGAGGGATGCACAGGCAATCGATCATTCGTGGGATGCAGCCAAAGACGGCGCCATTAACATTGTCCAAGTTCTGTGGTCCTACATTGGAGACGTTTAACCAACTCCATTCATGAATGCCTCATTGATTCACTCCTTTAATATTCATTTATTTGTTGTTGTTGTTGTTGGCGGTGTTATTCTGCTCGTTTAGCCAGGAAGGCCTTACCGATTCGCAACTCTCTTTCAGGAGAGTGCCGCTAAACGTTTGCCGAAGGGGGCCACCTTGCTACTGCTGCTGCTGCCGTGCGATCCAAATTAAGGAATTTGCAGTGGCGCTTATCAGCAGTGGGAAATACCGGCCACATCGTTACCGGGCTTTAGTTTCTTTTTTAACTATGGCAGGAAACCGGAGAACCCGGAGGAAATCCATTGCGGAAACTTGGATAGAGAGAGAGAGCGAGAGAGAACACGCAAACTCCGCACAGTGTGGCGGCCCGAGTCGGGAGTCGAACCCGGCAGCATGTCGCTGCGAGGCACCAGGGTTACCGCTGCGCCGCCACCCTCTAATCATCACCTTCGTGTCTCTCCTCCCCTCTCCCCCTCCCCTCCTCCCCCCTCCGCTCACCCCCTCCTCTCCCCGCGCAGCGCGAGTGTATCTCCATCCACGTGGGCCAGGCCGGTGTCCAGATCGGCAACGCCTGCTGGGAGCTCTACTGCCTGGAGCACGGCATCCAGCCCGACGGGCAGATGCCGAGCGACAAGACCATCGGCGGCGGCGACGACTCCTTCAACACCTTCTTCAGCGAGACGGGCGCCGGCAAGCACGTGCCCCGCGCCGTCTTTGTCGACCTGGAGCCCACGGTGGTCGGTGAGCGGCTAAGCGGCGATCAACCCTTCTCCCCTGTCCCGATGACGCACGTGCACCTACGTGTACGTATGTGTATGTGCCGACCACGTACGTGCACCTACGTTCACGTGCGTGCACGTATGTGCCGATGACGTATGTGCCGATGACGTACGTGCACCTGCGTGCCGATGACGTACATGCACCTACGTTAACGTGCGTGCACGTACGTGCCAACGACATACGTGCACGGACATGCAAGGCATCCCTTTTTCTTTCCGATTATGTTCCGATTACGCGCACGCGTGCGTCGTCGGAACGGAATAGATTCCGAACGGAATCGGAAGTTGGGCTACGTCTTGGCGCGGCTCGCTCACGTCAAGGTGCAGGCGGGACGGCGCGGTGAGGCCGCGTGAGGCTCACGGCCTACCGTTGGTCGTCGAGACGCAACGGAGGCGTCGTCAGCCCCGCCCTGCTTTGCCCCCCCCCCCCGAGTTAGATTCCGATGCCTTCCTGCCCAGGCCAGCAGCGCGTCGCGTCACGTCGTCGCAGTTCTGTTCCGGCTTAGCAAACGGCCGCAGTGCGAAAAAAAAAAAAGCCACGACCTGGAAGCCCACGGTGGTTGTTGAGAGGCTAAGCGGCGCTCTGTGGTGGCCAATCAACCCTTTTCCCGTTCCGATGACGTGCGTGCACGTGCGTGCACGTACGTAGACGTCATCAGTTTTTCTTCTGGCTCGGCTCGGGTGCGGCAGTGGAAAAAAAACGGTGCCAGGTGCAAACATGTCTCACCCCTCCCCCCAACCCCCCTGTCCACGGCCCCCTACCCCCCGCCACCTCTTCTACAGACGAGGTGCGCACGGGAACGTACCGCCAGCTCTTCCACCCCGAGCAGCTGATCACGGGCAAGGAGGACGCGGCCAACAACTACGCGCGCGGCCACTACACCATCGGCAAGGAGATCGTCGACCTGGTGCTCGACCGCATCCGCAAGCTGGTGAGAAGGGGGGGGCGTGGGGGGGGGGGCGTGGGGGGCGTGGGGGAGAGGGAGCTTGGAGGAGTCATCACCTCCCAAGTTTCCACCTATTCAACGGTGGAACGACCGCTTGCCGCGTCCGCGAGACGCAGCTAGCGGCGGCGCCCTCCTCCGCGATCGCCGGCGCGGCGATGAGCGTTCTGTCGTCTCGCTCCGACTCGCTGGCCACTCGCGCGAGTTGACGACCGACCGCAGGAGAGCGGGCGGGAGCGGAGAGAGAGGAGGGGGGGGGCAGGGAGAACTGCAGGGATTAGTGTGGGAGTTTGTGGGTGCAGAGGGGGAGATGGGGGATGGGGGCAGCTGGGCAGTGGGTGGGTGGGAGATTGTCCGAATGAGGCAGCCCTCCATTGCCTAAACAATGAAGCCTCCAAATCATCGCCCTTTTCATGGCCATGACCTCGCATTTGGAGCCCCGTTTCACAAGGCCCCACACACAGGCACCCATTCACAAATAACAGCCGCACACACAGGCGCCCATTGACAATAGCGCCTCAGTGTAACGAGCGGCTCTCAATCCTTCTTTGAGGGGAGGGGGGGGTAAGGGGCCACTAGGGCCTTTGAGAGGGAAGCGCAGGCTGCGGCATGGATACCGTGCAGGATTAATGTCGTACGGCGCGGCGACAGGACGCACCAAGTAACGGAACAAGTGCCTTGCTGACGCCGCGCTAAATGTCGGCGCGTGGAGAACCACCGCAGGACCTGATCAGTCGGCCTCACTGGGTGCAAGAGCCTGCGAACGGACACGGAGAGCGGGCGGGGGCCACCTTTGTATCGAAGGAAACCAGAGCAGCTGCAGAAAACTCCACTCACAATCCCCAGCTTCGCGAAGACCTCGGTGTCATCCTAATGCTCCCTCGCTCGCCGCTCCCTCCTCTCCACCCCCCCCTCTCACCTCCCCCCCCCCCCCCCAGGCGGATCAGTGCACGGGGCTGCAGGGCTTCCTGATCTTCCACAGCTTCGGCGGCGGCACGGGCTCGGGCTTCACCTCGCTGCTCATGGAGCGCCTCTCGGTCGACTACGGCAAGAAGTCCAAGCTGGAGTTCTCCATCTACCCGGCCCCCCAGGTGGCCACCCTCCCTGCCCCCCCCCCCCCACGCCCCACCACCAAAGATTTTCCACGTAGCCTTAACAGACCGTATGTATGTACTGTACGTTGAACTTCTTTCGCGCCGCCGTACGTAGCCAACCGAGCTAATTGGAGGTGCGGGGGAAGGACAACAAACTAATACACAAAAGCGATGAAGAAATTAGTTTTCAATGGAGATTTAAAAGTGCATTGCTCCAGTGGCTTTCTAAATTCGGAAGGTTGCGCCTTCCAGACGGCCGCAGAAGCGCACTCAAAAGTTTGCGACGTGGTGACCGTCTTTGTGCGATCGTCGTCACGATCGTCGTCGTCGTCATCATTATCAGAGGCGGCCTCCCCAAGCAGTCGCCATTCTCTCACAATCCAACGGTGTAACAACAACAACAATAAATGATAATTATAATAAGTAATAATCCACCCCTGGTGTCACCGCTCCGTCCTCTCGTCCGCAGTGCCGTTGCTGTCGTTGCGTTACGAGCGTGCGATTCCAGGGCCGATAAATATCTAGTTTTTGGCCGACGACCGCTGCAGAGTAAAACAAGAACGCATCAGCGACGGCGCCCCCCCCCCCCCCCCCCCCCCCCGGCACGATCGTGAAAACCGCTCACCGACTCGGCGCGTCGCCCCCCCGGCCCCCACCCCCCCCCAGGTGTCCACCGCCGTGGTGGAGCCCTACAACTCCATCCTCACCACCCACACGACGCTGGAGCACTCGGACTGCGCCTTCATGGTCGACAACGAGGCCATCTACGACATCTGCCGCCGCAACCTGGACATCGAGCGCCCCACCTACACCAACCTCAACCGCCTCATCGGCCAGATCGTGTCGTCCATCACGGCCTCGCTGCGCTTCGACGGCGCCCTCAACGTCGACCTCACCGAGTTCCAGACCAACCTGGTGCCCTACCCGCGCATCCACTTCCCGCTGGCGACCTACGCGCCCGTCATCTCGGCCGAGAAGGCCTACCACGAGCAGCTGTCCGTCGGCGAGATCACCAACGCCTGCTTCGAGCCCGCCAACCAGATGGTGAAGTGCGACCCGCGCCACGGCAAGTACATGGCCTGCTGCATGCTGTACCGCGGCGACGTCGTGCCCAAGGACGTCAACGCCGCCATCGCCGCCATCAAGACCAAGCGCAGCATCCAGTTCGTCGACTGGTGCCCCACGGGCTTCAAGGTGGGCATCAACTACCAGCCGCCCACCGTGGTGCCGGGCGGGGACCTGGCCAAGGTACAGCGCGCCGTCTGCATGCTCAGCAACACGACGGCCATCGCCGAGGCCTGGGCCCGCCTGGACCACAAGTTCGACCTCATGTACGCCAAGCGCGCCTTCGTCCACTGGTACGTACCTTGCCGCCGCTGTTGTTGTTGTTGTGGTATCGGTCGACCGTGTACACAGGTGTAGACCGTGCACCATCACCACCGCAACGAGTTGGCTCCGCGCACACCTGAGCCCGTCGGCCGCGCAACAGAATCGCTCTCTCCTGATCTCGCCCGCCACCGAGTTTCCCGCTCGTGCATGTACGTCCGTGGGTTGCGGGCAATCTGCTTGCGGGTTATTGGGTTGCGGGCAATCCGGTTGCGGGTTATTGGGTTGCGGGTTATTGGGTTGCGGGCAATCGGGTTGCGGGTTATTGGGTTGCGGGCAAATCTGGTTGCGGGTTATTGGGTTGCGGGCAATCGGGTTGCGGGTTATTGGGTTGCGGGCAATCGGGTTGCGGGTTATTGGGTTGCGGGCAAATCTGGTTGCGGGTTATTGGGTTGCGGGCAATCTGGTTGCGGGTTATTGGGTTGCGGGCAATCCGGTTGTGGGTTATTGGGTTGCGGGCAATCTGGTTGCGGGTCATTGGGTTGCGGGCAATCGGGTTGCGTGCGAGATCTGGAGAGCGGTTAGGCCCCGCTGTGACGGTGGCGTGAGTCCCACCGATGACGGACGAAGACGGTGTGGGTTGGGGTTTCTAATGCCGTGCCTGCTGATGCTGCCGCATGGTAAGGTAGAGATAATGACGACGATGATACCGATGATGACGACGCTGCTACTAACGACGATGATGATGACACTGATGCTGCCGAGAGATGATTGCGCCGATGCCATGACTGATGCTGCTGTTGGTCATCATGTGACGGCGATGATGACAACGACGACGATCTTACCGCCACCACTGATTTTGGCGGTCGCGCCGATGATGCCGATGATGTTGACGACGATGACGATGCCGACGATGACAACGATACTGATGACGTTGATGATGCCGACGATGATGATGTTGACGATGCCGACGATGATGATGTTATTGTCGATGCCGACGATGACAACAATGCCGACGTTGACGATGCCGACGATGCCGTTGACGACGCTGACTCTGTTGCCCGCAGGTACGTGGGCGAGGGCATGGAGGAGGGCGAGTTCTCGGAGGCCCGCGAGGATCTGGCCGCGCTGGAGAAGGACTACGAGGAGGTGGGCGTGGACTCGGTGGAGGGAGAGGGCGAGGAGGAGGGGGAGGAGTTCTGAGTCCACCTCGCCGCACAATGGCCGCCTCGCATGCCGTCGAAGCAGTTTGCTCTGTAGACGAATCTGGTGATGAGAGTTTCGCGAGAGTCAAATAAAAGTTATAATAAAGGAGCATCTTAAATCAGCAAATCGCTCTGTCCACGCGTGCCTGATTTGTCACTCTGAGTCTTGTCCTGGTTGTGTGCGTGTACGTTGAACTTCTTTCGCACCGTACGTAGCCAACCGTGATAATCGGAGGTGCGGGGGAAGGACAACAAACTAAACGCACGCAAAAAGCAATTCTAAAGAAATTAGTTTTCAGTTATTTTCGCTCGAGCTCGACGACGAGGGATCTGGCAGAAGGAAGGAAGCCATGGCGACAGGCTGGCGTGGCGTGGTGCTTACACTCGCACCGCACATCGAGAAGAGCTGGGTTTGATTCCCAACCGGGGTGCCTTTCTGCGTGGAGTTTGTGTGTTCCCTCTCCCCCTGGTCTGCGTTTCCTCCCATCGCTTAAAAAATCCTCCATACAATGTAACTGGTATCGGGCCAAACATAGCAATGCTAAAAAAATCACCTGCAATTTACTCAATTTGGATCAACAACAACCGCCATTCGCCATTATGTGGCGGTGATGTCACCACGGTGCCTGTGCCAGGCCAGGTGCACTTTGAGGCCACGTGAAGTGTCGAAGGCTCGCTGACAGGTGGTCACAGGACAGCCCCAGGTGCCATGGGTAGACTGAGATGACCTGGCAGATGCTCCACCTGCACCCCCACAGAGGCCGATCTTGACACCGCCGGTGCCAGTCTTCGGCAAGTCCGCTCAGCTCCACATCCTCCTGTACCGCATCAGCTTCCATCTCTTCTCCAGACTATGTCGTGCCCGATAATTGTTTTTTTTACCCTTTTATCTGGCAACAAAACTGACACCTTTTTTTACAAGGAGTCATGTTTGCATAGACCACAATACCTGCAGTCATAATGCAAACAAAAAACACAACTCTGATAATGTACGCACTGTCCTTAAAGTTGATTGGTCCACACCCGAGACAGCTTTCCTTAGTCTCACATGGTGTTGGACCACATGACGCCAAAAGGTGGGTATTGTGGTCTATGCAAACATGACTCCTTGTAAAAAAAGGTGTCAGTTTTGTTGCCAAATACTGTAAAAGGGTAAAAAACCAATTCTATTTTTTACTGGCAAATGAGGTTCCAACGGTGTAAATACGTCGTGCCCGTTTAGCCCCCCCACCCACCCTCCTCTATGCGGCCAAACAGAAGCTGCTTTGGGCACGCGGTGGCCGGGCCACGCGGGCTACGTGCCCCTCATCCGCCGGAGGAGCTCACTAGTCGGAACGTGTCGAGATCTTTCAAGGATTGTGTGAGCCCCTGGGCACAGCGCAGCCTGTTTCAAGCCGGCGTGGATTCGTCGGCAGGGTCCTCGCACTCACCGCGAGAGGGCGCCCGCGACAATCCCATCACCCGCACTCAAAATGGGACCCTTTTTTTGGCAGTATAAAAAAAAAGTCTCATTTTGTAAGCTGCTCACACCAGCCCCCCCCCCGCCCACCCCCCGAGCTGTAAGTGCTCTTGATACGTGTGGCATTGTCTTTGTTGCTGTTCGTCTTTTTGGCGTTGTTCTCTGGTCTGACACCGGTGAGACGAGGCCCTAAAGAAGGCCGTTGTTTTCTCTGGTGTAGACCGATCGGTTTCAAAGACGATACCATCGTTATCATCGGAGCATGTTTTGTTTGCATGTTCACCGCAAGTACCGTGTGCGGTTAATGCAGTAACTTGATAACTTAAAAAAAAATGTTTCCAGTTGGTGTTTGAACATCCCAACACGACTCCTGTTTTATTGCAAGAGAGGGAACAACCGATTCTTATTTTTTCATAGCCGCACTCAACTCTCCATCGCTGCCGTCGTTCCACGTGGCGTTTTAACCGAAATGCAAGAGGCTACCTCCACCACCACGCCGCCTCCACCACCACCACGTCACCTCCACCACCACGCTCCACCACCACGTCGCCTCCACCACCAGGCCACCTCCACCACCACGGCACCTCCACCACCACGCCACCTCCACCACCACCACGCCTCCTCCACCACCACGCCACCACCACGCCGCCTCCACCACCACGTCACCTCCACCACCACGCTCCCTCCACCAACACGTCACCTCCACCACCACGCCACCTCCAACACCACCACGCCACCTCCACCACCACGCCACCTCCAACACCACGATGTTAACTGCCTCGCCCGGTGTGCAGGAGATCGTTGGTTCGATTCCGACCCTGACGATGCCTGCTGTAAATTTGGAGTTTGCGTGTCTCTCTCTCTCATCATCATCACGGTGGCTAGGAGATGTTAACTACCTCGCCTGCTATGACGGATATCGTTGGTTCGATCCCGACCCTGACGATGCTTGCTGCTGTATATTTGGAGTCTGCGCGTCTCTTTCTCTCCCCGTGATCGCGTGGATTTTTCTCCGGGTCCTCCGGGTTTTCCTCTCCATGTGTAGAAGCAACATCACTCGTTTCGAGTATTTGACTGCTGTACATTTCCACACGATGAGCCACCGTCGTTGAGCCATCATTTGTGGCTTCCGAAAGAGAGCTCAGGAGCTCGGTGAATACCTTACCTGGTAAAATAGAAAACGAGTTTATAGTTTAGCATTTTGGTTTATCTTGCGCGATGCTGTCGCTAATTTCGCTGACATACTCACACGGCATCACCACACACACCGTGATCACATCGCATCGGAACCCGCACCTCCGATTAGCACGGTCGGCGACGTACGGTGCGAAAGAAGTTCAACCAGCATCGTCCACACCCGCCCACGTGCACCCCACACGTGACACACCAGCAACGGACGGAGCATCATCACTACAACACACACAGCAGCAGTCACCCACACACATCAACACCACACGTAACATCATCACCCACATCAACACCACACGTAGCATCATCATCACACATCAACACCACACGTAGCATCATCATCACACATCAACACCACACGTAGCATCAACACACACATCAACACCACACTTAACATCATCATCACACATCAACACCACACGTAACATCATCATCACACACATCAACACCACACGTAGCATCATCATCACACATCAACACCACACGTAGCATCATCATCACACATCAACACCACACGTAGCATCAACACACACATCAACACCACACTTAACATCATCATCACACATCAACACCACACGTAGCATCAACACACACATCAACACCACACGTAGCATCAACATCATCACAGACCACCACCACACATATCAACATCACACGTAACATCATCACACATCAACACCACACGTAGCATCAACATCACACGTAACATCACCATCGCACACACATCGACATTACACGTAACATCATCACACACATCATCATCGCACGCAACATCACCGCACACGGCATCGCTACCACACAGACGAACAATGGATTTCGCTGGCCTCTAGCGAGGATGACAATGATAGGGACACGGGGATCGTGATGATAGCGACGGTCACGATGACAATTATAATCGCAGCACCAATGGGACAATTGTAGAATTTATTTTTAAACGATGCGAAAGATGACAACGACAGTGCTTGACAAGATAAATGAAGAAGTTGACTGTTATAACAACAATCATCATCAACATCATCATCATCAACATCATCATCAGCTGCTGCTGCTGACTTTAACCAACGACCTTAAAACCGCCTCCTCCCCTCGACCCCCCCTCCCCCCGGCGCGTGCCACCCCCACGCAGCTTACGCATCACAGACGCCGAGTTACCCACCAGGTCATCATCATCATCATCGTCGTCGTCATCATCATCATTGTCATCATCATCGTCGTCATCATCACCATCTTCGTCGTCATCATCATCGTCATCATCATCATTCATTGTCATCATCATCGTCGTCGTCGCACCGGGGTCGGGTGGACGAGGAGGGGGAGGGGGGAGGGGTTCTGTCAAAACATCGCGAGGTGTGGGGAGGTGTGGGGGGGGGGGTCCACAGTCAGGAAGATTGGGAGCCAGACAACCCCATACCCGCTGGAACTCTCCCGACATCTGCTACCCCTTAGGTGTCCACAGCGTGGCTATTGCGTGCACAGGGCTAGAGGGGTTCCCAGCGAGGAGCCAGGGCGGGGGGTGGGGGTTTAAACAGGAGAGGTACGCCACTCTGGAAAGTTCCTTGCCCGTGTCTCCAGACTCACACCACCACCTCCACCACCACCACGGCCCCTCTCGTGCCCCTCCTATCCCCTCCGAGCACGGGGTGCGTGAGCTCCGGACAGCTGTCGAGCATGACCTCCCTCCTCCTCCTCCCCCTCCTCCTCCTCGTCGTCGTCGGCGGCTTCGTGATGAACTCCTCGTCGGCGTGCGCCTCGAAGTCGCCGGCCGCGCGGACGCCGTGGGACGAGGAGGTGCTGGTGGAGGCGGCGAAGAGGCACATCCTGAGCACCCTGAATCTCAAGGAGAGGCCCCGCTCCTTCGGGGACTCCTTCGCCACGGGGGGCCTCTCGGGGGGTCCCAGGGCCCCGCTGCCGCGGATCGCGCTCCGAGCGGTGATGGAGGAGGCGGAGAGGAGCGCGCGGCGTCGGAGAGACGAGGAGGAGGAGGTGGTGCGGCTCGTGCGGTTTGCACAGAGAGGTAGGAGGGGCGAGAGAGTGAGGTGGAGACGGCGAGGTCGTGGGTGGGAGATTGCGCTCCGGCGTGCGGGAGAGGTGGTGAGCGGGGAGAGATGCGGCGAGTGAGTTTGTCGGTGGGTTGAGAGAATTGGTGCAAGGGTGAGCGGGTGAGTGGCGGAGTGAGGGAGTGAGTTTGTGAGAGAGTGGGTGACTGAGAGAGTGAGTGACAGAGGGAGTGAGTTTGTGAGTGAGTCGGTGACTGAGAGGGTCAGTGACAGAGGGAGTGAGTTTGTGAGAGAGTGGGTGGCTGAGAGAGTGAGTGACAGAGTGAGGGAGTGAGTTTGTGAGTGAGTCTGTGACTGAGAGGGTGAGTGACAGAGTGAGGGAGTGAGTTTGTGAGAGAGTGGGTGACTGAGAGAGTGAGTGACAGAGGGAGTGAGTTTGTGAGTGAGTCGGTGACTGAGAGAGTGAGTGACAGGATGAGGGAGTGAGTTTGTGAGGGAGTCGGTGACTGAGAGGGTGAGTGACAGAGGGAGTGAGTTTGTGAGTGAGTCGGTGGCTGAGAGAGTGAGTGACAGAGTGAGGGAGTGAGTTTGTGAGAGAGTGGGTGACTGAGAGAGTGAGTGACAGGATGAGGGAGTGAGTTTGTGAGGGAGTCGGTGACTGAGAGGGTGAGTGACAGAGGGAGTGAGTTTGTGAGTGAGTGTGTGACTGAGAGGGTGAGTGACAGAGTGAGGGAGTGAGTTTGTGAGGGAGTCGGTGACTGAGAGGGTCAGTGACAGAGGGAGTGAGTTTGTGAGTGAGTCGGTGACTGAGAGGTTGAGTGACGGAATGAGGGAGTGAGTTTGTGAGTGAGTGTGTGACTGAGAGGGTGAGTGACAGAGTGAGGGAGTGAGTTTGTGAGTGAGTCGGTGACTGAGAGGTTGAGTGACGGAATGAGGGAGTGAGTTTGTGAGTGAGTGTGTGACTGAGAGGGTGAGTGACAGAGTGAGGGAGTGAGTTTGTGAGAGAGTCGGTGACTGAGAGAGTGAGTGGCAGAGTGAGGGAGTGAGTTTGTGAGGGAGTCGGTGACTGAGAGGGTGAGTGACAGAGGGAGTGAGTTTGTGAGTGAGTCGGTGACTGAGAGGTTGAGTGACGGAATGAGGGAGTGAGTTTGTGAGTGAGTGTGTGACTGAGAGGGTGAGTGACAGAGTGAGGGAGTGAGTTTGTGAGTGAGTCGGTGACTGAGAGAGTGAGTGGCAGAGTGAGGGAGTGAGTTTGTGAGTGAGTGTGTGACTGAGAGGGTGAGTGACAGAGTGAGGGAGTGAGTTTGTGAGTGAGTCGGTGGTTGAGAGAGTGAGTGGCAGAGTGAGGGAGTGAGTTTGTGAGTGAGTGTGTGACTGAGAGGGTGAGTGACAGAATGAGGGAGTGAGTTTGTGAGTGAGTCGGTGGTTGAGAGAGTGAGTGGCAGAGTGAGGGAGTGAGTTTGTGAGTCAGTCTGTGACTGAGAGGGTGAGTGACAGGGTGATGGAGTGAGTTTGTGAGAGAGTGGGTGGCTAAGAGAGTGAGTGACGGAGTGAGTTTGTGAGTCAGTCTGTGACTGAGAGAGTGAGTGACAGGGTGAGGGAGTGAGTTTGTGAGTCAGTCTGTGACTGAGAGAGTGAGTGACAGGGTGAGGGAGTGAGTTTGTGAGTGAGTCGGTGGCTGAGAGAGTGAGTGACAGAGGGAGTGAGTTTGTGAGAGAGTGGGTGGCTGAGAGAGTGAGTGACGGAGTGAGTTTGTGAGTCAGTCTGTGACTGAGAGGGTGAGTGGCAGAGTGAGGGAGTGAGTTTGTGAGTCGGTGACTGAGAGGGATGGTGACATCGTTATTGAGAATGCTTTGGGTGGATCGGGTGTTTTCTATCGCTACTACCGTGGCTACAGTTCCCATGAATTGGGCTCTGATTACTCTACCCACGGTGTTGAAAACTCATTTCTTGAGAACTGCTTCTTGTGTTTAGTTTGTCGTCCTTACCCCGCACCTCCGATTATCGCGGTTGGCTGCGTATAGCCGAAAGAAGCACTGCCACCACACTGCAGGTCACAACTACTGACTCACTCACTCGCTAATCCAGCAACTTACTCATTCACCCACCCGCTCACCCATTCACTCACCCACCCGCTTACTCACTCACCCACCCGTTCACTCACTCGCTCACTCACTCACCCACCCGCTCACTCACTTACCCGCTCACTCACTCACCCACCCGTTCACTCACCTGCTCACTCACTCACCCGCCCAACTCACTCACCCGCCCGCTCACCCACTCACTCACCCACCCGCTCACCCATTCACTCACCCACCCGCTCACTCACTCAATCACCCACCCCCTCACTCACTCACCCACCCGCTCACTCACTCGCTCACTCACTCACCCACCCGCTAACTCACTCACCCACCGGCTCACTCACTCACTCACCCGCCCAACTCACTCACCCGCCCGCTCACCCACTCACTCACCCACCCGGTCACCCATTCACTCACCCACCCGCTCACTCACTCACACACCCGCTCACTCACTCACTCACCCACCCGCTCACTCACTCAGTCACCCACCCGCTCACTCACTCACCCACCCACCCGCTCACTCACTCACTCACCCACCCACCCACTCACTCGCCCAACTCACTCACCCGCCCGCTCACCCACTCACTCACCCACTCGCTCACTCACTCACTCACCCACCCGCTCACTCACTCACACACCCGCTCACTCACTCACTCACCCACCCACCCACTCACTCACCCGCCCAACTCACTCACCCGCCCGCTCACCCACTCACTCACCCACTCGCTCACTCACTCACTCACCCACCCGCTCACTCACTCACCCACTCACTCACCCACCCGCTCACTCGCCACACTCACGCAGGTTGCCTCACTGCTCTTTCTGCTTCTTCTCTGGCACTGCTCCACTTTGCAATTCCCTCCCTTCGTCGTTTCCTTCAAGTTCCTCAAAACAACAAGAGCCTTGCTCAATTAAACAACGTTTGTTGCTGGCCGTTTGGCGTTTTTGAGCCATTGGGTCCCGTGCCCAGAAACTTCCATTGGCATATATCAATATATAAATATATCATTAGAACGCTGAGCTTCCAACCCGACTGATAACCTGAGTTCGCACCAAGATATCAGCCACCTGTGACGAGAGCATGGCGAGTTTGATGGGCTTAGCAGAGTCGCCAATGACGTACACAGAGCCCGATATACTGAATGTTGATATCGACTACAGAGAGATCCACTGGCTGAGCTCTGGCTAAAGCTTACTTGGCTCAAGTTGGGCACTTAATTTGGCTGAACTCCGTCTCTGAGAAGTAACGTTACCCTCGTATGGAAGAGCGGGTGCAATCAGTGCCGGATTAAGCGAGTGCGGGGCCTGTAACATGTGTTATAAAGGGGCCCTAAATAAAATAAAAACATGAATATTACAATAAAATTTGTAACTTGCACAGTAAAGTAATTGCATTTTTTCATTTGTTATACAGCCAGATAATACGACAAATCGCTAACCTTAAGCACCCAGTCATAAAAGTTGAAGGCGGTATAGTACTATAGTAATAGAGCAAGTGCAGAATCACTGAACCGGAATTGATAGCTTGTAAGCATTTAGCGCGGGGCCCTTGAAAGTGCGGGCACGTAGCATGTGTAGCTACTACATATGTAGATACTACATATGTAGTAGCTACTACACGTGTAGTAGCTACTACATATGTAGTATATATGTTGTATCTACACGTGTAGTAGTTACTACACGTGTAGTAGTTACTACTACACGTGTAGTAGTTACTACACGTGTAGTAGTAGCTACATATGTAGTATATACATACTTGTGTCGAGATTATGTATGGCTGACGAGGTGGGATCGTGACGAGGTGTGATGGTGACATAACGACGAGGTGTGCCTCGTGACGAGGTGAGATCACAACAAGGTGAGATCGCGACGAGGTGAGATCACGACGAGGTGAGATCGTAACGAGGTGAGATCGCGACGAGGTTTGCCTCCTATCCTCCTCTCCCCACAGACGCCACGGGCCACATTCTGCTGTTCTCTCTGCCACTCGAGGAAGGGCTGGACGTGAGCAGGGCGCGTCTGTGGCTCCACGTGGCGGCGGCCGCGGCGGACGTCCATGGCCTCGGCCACTGCACCGTCACCATCTCGTCCCCACCAGTCACCTCCGGTGGCGCTGGCGGCGCTGGCGGTGTCAACGGCAGCGGGGAGGCTACGGGGCGCACACCCTGGAAGGTCCGGGTACGGGTGTCGAACCCGAGCCGCTGGGTTCGCGTGCGTCTGACTCGACCGGTGCGCTCCGCTCTGCGCCGTGGGGAGGGAACCCTCGCCCTGGTGATTGCGAAGGACGGCTGCAGCGATGACGATGGTGATGATGACGATGGTGGTGATGACGATGGTGGTGATGATGATGGCGGCGGTGGTGGCGGTGCTAGCGGTGTCGTCGGGCAGCGCGCTCAATGGCGCCGCTTGGAGCCAGCCCACGGGGCGAGGTCCGCGCAGAACACGTCGCGAGATCCGGGGCAGCAGCAGCGGCAGCGGCGTCGAAAGCGAGCTGATGCAGGGCAGCGGCTCGCGGGGCGAGGCGCGACAGGGCGGCACGGCGAACAGAACGCCGGGGGGCAGCAGCAGCAGCAGCAGGAGCAGGAGGAGCCATTTCAGGACCTTGGCCAGCGACCCTTCCTGGTGATGCGCGGATCTCGCGGTGACTCAGCCGCCTCCTCCCCCTCCTCCTCGTCCTCGTGGTCGTCCAGTCGAGTCCGTCGCCACGACGGCGGCGACTCGGACTGCGAGGCCAGCGAGGGGCGCTGCTGCCTGCAGCGCTTCTACGTGGACTTCAAGAAGATCGGCTGGCACGACTGGATCCTCGTGCCCGACGGCTACTTCGCCAACTTCTGCCGCGGCGCGTGCCCGCCGCACACCGCGGGCACCCCGGGCACGGCCGCGTCGTTCCACAGCGTCCTCGTCAACCAGTACCGCCTCAGGGGCTTGCTGCCCGCGAACTCGCAGCCCGCCTGCTGCGTTCCCACGCGTCTCGGCGCCATGTCGCTGCTCTACTACGACGACGGCGAGCACGTGGTGAAGAGGAACGTGCCCGACACGGTGGCGGAGGCGTGCGGGTGTGCCTAGGGTCGGCGCGTCGACGCGTCCGACGGGGTTGCAGGAGGGTGTAATAAACGTGTCGAGGTGTAAACTCATCACGTAGATTCTCTGTAAGGGCTATTGCCAGTTTATTAACTGCTACACTCACGTACAGAATCACCGGATGACGCCAGAGGTAGACGCTTCTACACGTGGTCCTTCCCGTGGACCGTGCCGTGACCCGCTTAACTCCACGGCCCAAGCTCCCCACTGGTCGACTCCGGATGAGGGTCCGGTGCCAAGCGGCGCGTCCTTCGTGTCGTCCGTGTCCTCTCGGCTCCACACAACGACCCCCCCCCCCCTGATTACCCCTCTTCTCTGGGTGACATGACGTCACCCGATGACGTCATCCAGCTCTTTCCTGCCGATGACCTCACTTGCTCCCACTATACAAATGTATCAAGAGCCGCGGTGTTAAGCGAGTGTTTGGATTGTCCGCCCTGAGTCTCCGTGTCTCTGTTTAGGTCTCTTCGGGACTCTTGACGACGACGATGATGATTTACTGGTTTACCCAGGAAAGCCACGCTGAGTCTTAGGAATATTTTTGAAGAAGGGTCCTGCTGCTGCATTGCGATTTTTATGTTCAGATCTTTTAAAGCCAAATTAACGACGATTTGTGTTCATTATTATTGTTATTCTACAACGTGGGATGAAAGCGGAGCACCCGGAGAAACCCCGCACGTGCGAGAGGGGGCAACGCTCAATCCCCCTACAGACGGAAACAAATGGCAACCGGTCCAGCTGTTCGTACTGCCCTCCCTTGGCGAGCCAGGCAGGGTACTGGCACGTCCTCGTGGGACGCAGCACCATCTGTGCGGTGATCCACTAATGCTCGCTGCTGCCTCCACAGCGCTGGGTTCGAGGCGGCCGCATGTGAGTCGGTGACGACGCAGGCTGCTTGAGAACACGGTGTCAATCACAGCTGGCTGACACCCGGATTTGAACTTAGGGGGCCGTCCATAAATGACGTCACGCACCTGGGGTCAGACATTTGTGACGATGTGTGACGAGGTGGGGGGGGGGGGGGGGTTGAGAAATGTGACGTCACGTAAAAATGCGCAACTTTAAATAAATATAGACAACACGTTCTACTTAATTAAATAGACTTTTTAATGTTTTCTCCTACAACATCAGAGTGCAGCGCCACATTAAATACGCACTACAATGACAATAGTTTAAAGCGATTTGAAGCATGCTTTATTTTTGGGGCGGGGGGGGGGCAGAGCTTTGTGACGTCATATTTGGGGGGGTCTGACTTTTTGTGACGCCGTGTGACGAAGGGGGGGGGGGGGTCAAAATCGTCCAAAATCGAGTGACGTCATTTATGGACGGCCCCTTAGGTTGTCAGTGATATGCCATCATCCATAATAGAGTTTGTTTGGGTTATATTGCGTAAATTCATAATAGAGGTTTTATATAAATGTGTCGTTAAACCCGCCACCACCCGACACAGCCAACTAGTAAGGGTTGTCACGTAAACAGAACGTGGCCAATTCGTCACGAGTACAGCAACACCGGTGTGCGCTGTACACTTTTATATATTTATATATTATGGATGATATTGTTCGCGAAAGTCCTGCTACGTTTTAAACCGCGATATTCCAGCTCAGCGTTTTTCCTTTTTGTATTCTTCTAATGCATCGACGCCGGTTGCTGGATACGGGACCAAAGACACAGAACGCCAAACTTCCAGCAAAAAAGCAGCACGGTTACAGTCGTGAATAGATCGTGAATAGATCGTGAATAGATCGTGAATAGATCATAAATAGATCGTGAATAGATCGTGAATAGATCGTGAATAGATCGTGAATAGATCGTGAATAGATCAGAGCTCGTGCGTCTCTTGAACGAGGTGATGCGAGCTTGGGACAAGAGACGAAGCTAGGGGATTCCAACCAGGACTGGTAAGTGAGTGGAGGGGGGGGTGGTTCTGGTTGGTGCAGCGTGGGTAGAAATGGGAAGTGTGGTGATGGGGGTGGTGGTGGGGGTGGTGGTGGTGGTGGGGGTGGTGTTGAAGAGGCGTGAGTGGTGCGTGGTCGTGCTGATGCGAGAAGGGGTCATTGATAATCGGTTGCGGTGGGCGATGGAGTTTTGATGATGCTCGTGACGGAGTGCGGACGACGTCCACGCTGGTGGCGGTGGTGGACCGGTTCTGTGACTCTGGTGGTGGTGAGTGGTGGAGAGGTTCTGTGACTCTGGTGGTGGTGGTGGTAGAGAGGTTCTGTAACTCTGGTGGTGGTGTTGAGTGATGGAGAGGGTCTGTGACTCTGGTGGTGGTGGGTGATGGACAGGTTCTGTGACTGGTGGTAGTGAGTGGTGGACAGGTCATGTGACTCTGGTGGTGGTGGTGGTGAGTGGTGGACAGGTCATGTGACTCTGGTGGTGGTGGTGGACAGGTTCTGTGACTCTGGTGGTGGTGAGTGGTGGAGAGGTTCTGTGACTCTGGTGTTGGTGGTGGACAGGTTCTGTGACTCTGGTGGTGGTGAGTGGTGGACAGGTTCTGTGACTCTGGTGGTGGTGAGTGGTGAGTGGTGGAGAGGTTCTGTGACTCTGGTGGTGGTGGTGGTGATGAGTGGTGGACAGGTTCTGTGACTGGTGGTGGTGGTGAGTGGTGGTGAGGTAATGTGACTCTGGTGGTGGTGGTGAGTGGTGGACCGGTTCTGTGACTGGTGGTGGTGAGTGGTGGAGAGGTTCTGTGACTCTGGTGGTTGCATCTCAACTCAATAAAACCGCCGTGGCGTTTAACCATCGCTGCCAGGTCTCTATGACCAGAGACATGCACGCTAACTGATGGCACTTGCGTTATCCTGTTTTAACTGCTATTCATGTCAACGTATAACGTATTAATATATGCAATATTTAATGATTGACATAATATATATCACGCTTTTTTAAGATACAAAAACAAGCTCCCCTGAAACTATGTATGGGTATAATTGTTGAGGAATTTCAGGTTATTTCAAAATAAAAAAAAAACCCAGATAAAACCTCAATTGGTGCTGAATAAAGTATCTGCCCTTTACTAGATAATACACGTTGTTGCCTCTGTGTGTGTATGATTCAAGTTCAACATCTCATATTACTGAAAGAGGGGGGACCCGCATGTAAAAAGCATAGCCTTCGGCGAGTGGTGTATTTTTAGTCATATTGTGACTATTGTTGTTAACACAACTGGTTAAAAAATGGGACTTTTAATGTCCCGGGAAAACTGGCAAAATTCCGAGCACAGCGGCGGCGACTTCCTACAAACACAACACGAGTACAATCCGGGAAAAATCCCGGACAGCTGACAACCCTGGTAACCCCAGGACGCACAACCGTTGCATTCATGGAGGTGGTCACAAACATCCCGATATAGGACACCAGAACTTGGGAAATAGTTTTCTGTAGTTCCCCACGCCTCGGAATCATCCTCCCCATAAATCAATCTCTCTTCGCACGCACACTCTGCATTATTAACGAGGAATGTGTTCTTAAAATAAGCTGTGTTTGTGCAGCACTGCCATGTCAGCGTTGTTTTAAAAATCTCACGTTCGATGTCTCATACCTCGCGTCTCCACGCTTTCGTGAGGCCACGTGGCAATCAGCACCACACTCGTTCCCCCGCACGCAACGGCAGTGCTGGAGGATTATAATTCACATAGCAGGATCGTGGGAGATGGTGGAGGCTGGGCGGGGGGGGGAGGGAGGCTTTCATCCAGCAGTGGACTGACCATGGCTGCTGATGATGACGACGCATCGCATGCAACCTCGTTGGAACTGACCCATGTGCACGACACAATACGATCCAGTTGATTGACACTGTTGTTATGTGTGCGAGTCTATGGGTCTCTGCGTGAGTGTATGGTGCTCTGTGTGAGTGTATGGTGCTCTGTGTGAGTGTATGGTGCTCTGTGTGAGTGTACGGGTTTCTAACTATACACGAGTCCAACGAGTCGATGGGACTAATTGGTATTTGGGAGGACAAAGGCAACTTGTGGTGATAATGTTGTGCCGGTCCTGGGCTCCGGGCGAATTGATAATAATTGGAACACAATAGCAGTGGGTGATGGTGATGATGATGCATACAGTGCTGGGCGCCACCAGACCAGTTCTCCTGCGAAGCTGTGTGGGCTTTGAGCGTCCGTGTGGTGGAGAAAGCGGTGATGCTGCTGAAGCTACTGCTAGGGCATTCCAGTCTCTCAGCGGGTCTCGATGTGAGTCAACGAGTCTCTGTGCTGGTCTATGGCTTTGAGTCTCGCGAAGTGTCTCTCTCCTCGTGTCTCCCCATGCGTCGCTCCAGTGTCTCAACAAATCTCCGTCTGTCCTTGCGCGTCTCTCCTCGTCTCTCCCATACTCTCACGTCTCCCTCCCACACGTGTCTCTCTCTTTCTACCCGTGCCTCCTGGTCTCCCGCCCGCGTCTCACGAAATGCTCCGAGTGACCTAGCCAAGGGCGATTCGTCTCTCGATTCTCAATCGCTTTCCCGTCCACTCGTTTGCATGAAGTTTGGAGTAATATCAGGTGACATGTGTTTTTCCTCATCTGTTAATGAAAAACGAAGGCAAGAGCATTGTAACCCTGATAGAAAGGGCTGTGTAATGCATTAAACGAGTATAAACGAAAATGTTTATTTTGCCAGGTAAGACCCGCCGAGTTATATGGTTATTTTTTTAGAAGCGACATGGCCACAAATTATAGCTGAACAAAGTGGCTTATCACGTGGGAATTTAAAGCAGGAGTTTGTTTCTAATTATGGAGGGGAAAAACCGGAGGACCCGGAAAAAAGTCCTCGCGACCACGGAAAGAACAATGCAAACTCAAAATACACAGCAGGCGTCAAGGTCGGGATCGAATCCACGACCTGCTGTGTACCAGGTGACGTAGTTAACATCTCCTAGCCACCGTGGCAACCGCACGTCGCGTCGATTGGCCATGGGTTCAGAGGTCAAGCAGCTGTGATCGGAACGAGCTGCAATTTGACAGCCTTCAATGATCGCTCTTCATTT